CATTTGCTTCCTATTGTGGCTGGCGCGTAAGTACAAAGCAGACTATTTGAGATTTAATTCAGATATATTTAGTAATGATTCTCAGCTTTGCCCTTTGTTTTTTACCTCAACGCCATGTTTACGGTGAGAAGCATCGCCGGACCTTATGCCCCACTACTCATGAATTTGATGGAGTTCATCAGATTTCAGCTGGCACGGAAGCATTTGTGTACGTGGTATTTGACAATTGCCACAAGAGGTGGACTGAACTATACAAGTGGCGCTATGAAGAAGGGGGCCAAGGAAGCTACCCTACATACAGCAGCAAGAACCCAGTACTTTTCGCTTAAAGGGAAAATACTCTGATAATTATTCTGGCCAGAAAGAGTTTGGGGGGTGGGTTGCTGAAGGCATTGAAATGTTTGAGGAGGTCAAGGAAGAGTTCAAGATTCGGGGAAACGCGAGAGACGAATCAATTTGAGCAGTTGGTTTGAAATTGATACAAAGTTTGTTGAAATGCTGAAGGTAAGTGCAACAGTCTGTGCGCAATACCTGAAATTATTGCCAATCATCTATATACCTGTACTTTTGCCTCACTATTCAGAAACGCCATCACGAGGCTATGGCGAAAAAACATGACAAAGCTTCGGCAACCTATCAACTGAAATTAGACTCCCAGCAGCGAAAGCGCGAGGCAAAGGAGGCACGAAAGCACAAAAAGAGGAAGAGAGCCAGCAACCTTGATGATTAACCAGGGGGCTCCACTGAATATTTTGGGCCTGATACTTCCTGATTTTGACCTTTCGGTACAGATCCATCCCCTTGTTGCTGTTGTTTTCGTCGGTTGCAGGGTGCTCAGCTGGTTATTTTTGCACCCCCACTCACTTTCCGAAACTGTACATCTTGACCTTTTGGTTGGACCTTGCCTATTAGTGTTCTGTTTGTGGTTGCACGTGTGAATGCAATCTGTACAAGGTCCCCGTATTTTAAGCATGTGTTTGGTCATGATATGTTATTTTCCATGACCGTTCCCACTACTTTTAAATCCTAATTCTCTCCTAGTATGTTATTATTTCACTCTATTTTTCTTCTATTTCTGTAGTCTAAGGTTCTTACCATTCTGTATTGCGAACGGCCTGATCTACAACAGAATGGTCTGATCACGAGGAAGGTAGCCACTTAGCAATTTGTTGGCAGTTGGCTTTCTGCCGAAATTACACAGTGCACATGACAAACACCTTCTGAATTGAAGAACGTAGGCAGAAAGCTGGCTGCCTGACAAGTTGCTAAGTTGGCTTGCTTTCGTCCTGATTCTAGATTTCTGTTCTGTGCTGGAATCCAAGCTTCACCTTCTGAATTGGGGGAAAAGGTCCATATTGCTACCTAGGACATAATCCTTTGTAAGACGAGACCATGTCTATGTCAAATTTTGACCTACTACTGTTTGCCCCTTATCTTGACCAAAGGTCATTCGAGGCTTCTTAGACGATCCACGGGGGATCTTTCGCTGGACTTGACCCTGCCCTACTCAGATCTCGATGGCTTGTACGGTACGGGATCTTTGTTTGTCGCTTGCTCACGCCTGCATGATGAGCATTAGTTAACTAGATACTTGCTTTTTTTGTTGTTTGCTACTGTTTGCCACTTCTCTTTTCCGCTTCGGTAGCAAACTCCGTGAGATATTCTCGCATCCAGAGGGGAGCTAATTTTTGAATTTGGCGTTTTCGCATCCACAGATCCAAGGCACCCCAACATCCACCCGGCAGGAACCCCAGAGATCCATGAAGCCGACATCGTTTCTCGTTCAAAGCCTCTATGGTGAAAGTTCCAATGTGGACTGCTCTGTTTCGGGTGGAGAATCTCTTGTCGAGAAACTGGGAACTGATTTGTACCGAAGCAGTCTTATCATTATCACTAGTATTGGGTTTTCTCATGGATGTGATAGAGTCGATACTGCGAAAGGTTTTCCCTTGGAACAAAGACTCTACCACCCAGAGACTTCCCTCTTGATGGACGAATTCCTCGGGGTGGATTGTCACCAGCCCATGGTTCTTGCTGCGTTTCTTGAACTCCACCTTGGTAACCCGGCTCACAAAGGTCGGCCGATTCTTCACATCACAAAGGGTCTCCCACAGCACTTCCATGGGAGCGTTCACATCACAAGAAACCTTGACAGTCAAGGACATTGTCATATCGTTCCAGCCAGTGGGTTGGTTTTGGTCAACAAACTTATGAGTAATCTTGGATCTTGGAGACCCGTTCTGTTGTTGCATTGTACGTATTTTCCGCGATCTTGGTATTCGCTCCACGACTGACTGACTCGACCAAGGCGCATGGTCACGAAGCTTCACTCCTTATTTTGTGTTCTTGGCCGACCTCGTCCACCATGAGCCAGCCATGAGTCGGGAGTCGGTGGGATACCGATACGGGGGGTTTAGAGTAGGACTGTCGAGCACGAGCATCAAAGAACGGTTCCTACGTACCGGTACACCGCAGTCACGGCGCCGGATGCTGGACCTCGAGTGGCTTTCTGGGTACAATGCCATGTGCACGCAGTGTGCCAGAGTTCTACTGGCACCGCCAACAGGAGCAATGATCCCGAGCAATACATGGCTTTGAAGACAACGTGATGCCGTTTCGGGAACCCAAGGAACCAACCAGAGCCTTTTCCTAGCAACCAATGCCTTCAAAAGTAAGATCGGGCAGGCCAAGCAACGCCAAAAGTCTTTGAAAAAAGACAGTTCGGCGCAGCCTCATTGAGAACCATACCAACCGTTTGCTTTGCTTGTGGCACCGACAGACCTTCGCAGCATTGGAGTGGCTGACAGTCCTACTGCACAAAAAGTGTTCTCAGGTGAGGAGCATTCATTCCAATGGTCATGATGGCTACCAAAACGGCGTACGGCAGCCACCTTCAGCTTGGCTTCCTATTGACGGGCAACCACAGCAGCACACCAAGAACAGCAACATTATATCCATAGCTGATTCAGTGCATTTCCATAGCTGTAGCAGGGCGCTAAGTTCTTTTCTGTGACAATAATGGCAGCATTGTCCACGGCTACCAACAACATCAAACTTGGTCGGTGGCACGGAAATCGGTTCGCCCCAAATCCATCTAGCTACATGTATATGAGCCACCAGACCATCCAAACGTACTAGGAAAGTACAGAAACCCACTAACCACCAGTATCTCAAAGAAAGTCTCGAACCCAAGCCACTACCTCCACATCATCAGCATCCAACAAACCATCTTCATTCCATGAGCAACCATTCTCAATTGCATATTTCAGCGTCTCCAAATGGCCATTCTCATCCCAAGGACATCCATTCTCGTGGGCATATTTTAGGACTTCCAAATGGCCTCTCTTAGCACCATCAATAATGCATTTTCGTCCATTCCATGGACAGCCATTTTCATGGGCATACTTCAAAATTTTCAAACGGCCCCTTCTAGCAGCTGCATCACATGTCCGTGCAGTCCACGGACAGCCATGGTCATGGGAATATATCAAGACTTCCAAATGGCCATTCTCAGCAGCACCGCTACATGTCTCTGCATTCCACTGACATCCATGTTCATGGGCATACTTCAGGGTCTCCAAGTGGCCCATGCGAGCAGCTTCGGAGCATGTCTGTGCGCCCCAAGGGCATCCATGTTCATGGGCATACTTCAATATTTCCAAATGGCCTATTGCGGCAGCGGCAACACATGTTTGCCCATCCCATTGACATCCATGGTCATGGGCATACTTCACAATTTCCAAATGACCTTCCCAAGCAGCTCTGGTGCAAGTCCATTCATCCCAAGGACAGCCATTTTCATGGGCATATGTCAACACTTCCAAATCTCCCCCTGCTGCAGCTTCAGTGCATGTGTTCATATCCCAAGGACATCCGTTTTCATGGGCATATCTCAGGATTTCCAAATGACCTTTCTTTGCAGCTCCGGAGCATGTCCGTGCAGTCCACGAACAGCCATGTTCATGGGAATATATCAAGACTTCCAAATGGCCATTCTCAGCAGCTTCGGAGCATGTCATTGCGTTCCACCCACATCCATGTTCATGGGCATATTTCAGAATCTCCAAGTTGCCCTTTTCTGCAGCTTTAGAACATGTCTCTGCGTCCCAAGGACATCCATTTTCATGGGCATACTTTAGGATTTCCAAATGACCATTCTCTGCAGCGTAGCTACATATATATGCATCCCAAGGGCACCCGTTTTCATGGAGATACTTCAAGATTTCAAATTGGCCATTTCTCGCTGCATAATAGCACGTACCTACGCTCCAACCGTCGCAACCATTTTCATGGGCATATTTGAGGATCGCCAAATGGCCGTATGCTGCCGCATTTTGGCATGTGCGGTTATCCCAATTGGATCCCTTGTTCCGGAGCAATTGAAGAACTTGAAGATTCCCCAGCCTGGCAGCTGCAGCACAGATTTGAGAGCCAGAAATCTTTCGTCCAGTTCCAGTTTGCCGATTTGATTGCCAATACTCTGTGCATGGCACAGAAGAGACAATGGCAGTAGAGAAAGTATCTGTCTTTGTGGCGCTGCGCCCGCCATAACGATCACCAGCATCCATAACCTCTGGAGGCTTCTCCACAGTGTCACAGTAAGCAGTGTAAAGATCTTTCATGTTGCTGCTGATGGGCGCCACAAAGGCAAATTGCCCCATACCAAGAAAAGGAAGAATCTGGTTAACCCAGATATCTTTGTGTTGTAAACAGGAGTCATCTTGGCCAAGTTTGAGATTGGTAGTAGCCTGCTGAACAACTTGATCCATAGCTTTAGTCAGCTCTGCCTGCAACGCCAACACAGTCTCCATGTGAATTGCCGCTTGTGTTTTGCTTCTGTTGCTGTTGCTCTTCTGTTGTGTCTGCAGTTGCCTCAAGACTAGTGAGAGCTGTAGCGAGAGAGCTTTGAAAGCATCTTTCGTGGAAAGCTGGATATCAACATCATCAGTTTGTTTTGCTTTCTTTTGCTGCTCTGGAGTTGCCAAGCCGCAGTCCACTGGTACCAGCCCTCTCTTGCCATTGTGATGCTCCATTGTTGTCCTTTTTGCGGATAAAGATGTTTGTTGTGGTGTTCATTACCTCGGCAGTCTATCTGCCCGAGCCCTCACCCCCTTTTTTACCTCGGCAGGTAAACTGCCTGAGTTCTCAACCCCTTTACCTTGGCAGTCTATCTGCCTGAGCCCTCACCCCCTTTTTTGGTATTTCCTGTTTCCTGCTTCCTGCTTCCTGTTTTCTGTTCCGGTGAAGCCAAAATATAGGGATAGAGATAGGCACAAGCCAACTCTATAAATTTAGGGGTAGGAATAAATCATGATTATTCAAAGTTAGTGCACTCAACACAATAAGCCAGCAGAAGCTACAAAAGTTACAGGTATGTACGGGAGTGACAGCTGTAAAACTATGGTTAGAGGGCGACAACACACGACGAAGTGTTGTCGCCAGAGCTAGCATAAATTAAAAAGAAGGTTATAATGAAGGAATGATACCGGGCGGCAACACACGACGAAGTCGGGTGTTGTCGCCAGGGCGACCTTGAAAGAAGGGTGCAATCTCAAACATGTCATCATTTTTCTATCTGTCTTTCTGCCGAGGTATCGCAGCTCCCGCTGACTTAAATGCTATTTCCTATTTCCTATATCCTATTTCCTATTCCGGTGAAGCCAAAGTATAAGGATAGAGATAGTCATAAGCCAACAAAACTGAACATTGATGGTTCAATACAAGTTAGGGGTAGGAATAAATAATTAATATTTAAGGTTAGTGCAATCATCACAACAGCACAATAAGCCAGCAGGAGCTGTAAAGGTTAGAGTTACAATAAGGGAATGGCAGCTGGTAAATTATAGAGTAGCGGGCGGCAAGGCACGACGTAGTCGGGTGTTGTCGCCAGGGCTAGCTTAATAAAAAGAAGGTTGCAATGAGGGAATGAATGATACCGGCCGTCGCCAGGGCTAGCTTGAAAGATGGGTGCAATCCGAACATAATCCTCCTTCTTCTATCTGTCAATAAGTTTCTAGAAGGTTCAGTTCCAGTACGGAAGTAGTGGACTGGACCTCGCTGAAACCCTTCCTCAGGGACAGCGGTAGTCAGGCAGTTCAGGGAGCCTTGTCGTGCCTCAGGAGTATTCCAACACCTCCAGTAGGCACCAAACCAAGGACTTGGCCCTGTCAGTCAGACAGGAGGGCCAGCAGAGCTCTCTGCTGGGCCCTTTGGGCCAGCTCTCCTCAGGAGCTGGGAGCCTTCGTTATTCAATCGTGCAGTGGCAGTCTGGGAACAGTACTATCTGCTACCTCCTACTGCTTCTGCCCGGCCTCAACAGGATGGGTATTAACTGCTGCGGTATCAAAGGGGCTACAAGCTAATCAGGATCGGTCTCAATCTTTCGTACTATTTTCTTAACTATGGTAGAAAGGACGATCCTTTCTTGCTGCTTTGGTTGCAGATAAGCCAGCTGTGGGTGCTGGAGCTGTAGGCCAGCATAGCTGTTGGAGCTATCTCTGACGGGATCCAGAGCTCTCGCTCCTAAAAGTTATCGCTCCCCACGAGTGCGTATGGATCCGCTCTCATGGGAATGCCACGATACACGACTAGTTACTAACTAACTATCTACAAACTCTCCCCATGAACGAAACATCCATGGGCCACTCAGCATCGACTGCTAGTGGAACACAATGCGAGATGGGGATCTCACAAGTGGAGGGACTTGCATGGTTGGTCGGTTGCTGGACCAAAGGTAGGCGCAAAGGGATTGCGTGCTTCATCAGCATGGCCAGACTCGGTAGGTGTCGGCGGTGCTGGTTGCTATCATAGCGGTTGTTTGTTTTCTTCATATGTAGACAAATATTCGTGGCTCTGCCACAGGCCGAATTCAGCGGCGGCAAGCTCTCAGTGGAGCGGCCTTCTTGCCCCGCAATCATGTCGCTTGACGGATGGGATGGATGGGCTGTACCAGATAGGGACGTAGTCTAGTTGCCCGTCCGAAAATCCAGGGACAGTGCTAGCAGCACAGGCTGGAGGGCTCCAATCCTATGGGCCATCATGGAAGCAAACACATGATGGAACCACATGCCAAACACTGGTGAACTCCCCATTGCCTTGGAGGCAGAGGAGACTGAGACCTTGGTACTTGGGACCTCGGGCTCATCCTGTAGTGTGGCTGTGTTGCTGCTGTCAGCCATTGGTCGACTGGATGGCATTGCTGCCAAAGGGATCCTCTCATTCGGCACAAGCCTGGTGGTATTGGGAGTACCGAAGAGGGGTGGTCCGGGAAGGACCAAGCTGGGAATCCTTGGTGTCGTTCGACATGGTGGACACTTGGATCTCCAGCCAAGGTTGGTTGTTGCACGACCTGCCCTGGAAGCTGTCTGCTTCAAAGCATCCTGCTTTGGGCGTGCACTTGCTTGCAAAGGGATCCTCTCATTTGGCACGAGCCTGGTGGCACTGGGAGTACCAAAGAGAGGTGGCTCTGCTAGAACCGAGTTGGTTGCCTTCGCCTTGATGGGCAAACTGTGAGGCATCCAACATGGGCTGGTTGTCGTCTGCTGGCCAAAGGACGTGCGGTCCTGATTGGAAGGGACAACCGTTGTATCGATTACAGGCGGGACTTCCTTGGATGGTGGAATCGTCCTGCTAGAATCACTGTTGCTGTGGGCTACAGTACTGGCCTCCCCATAAGCCAATGTAGAAGCTGGGTGACTGCTGGAGCTGGAGGTAGGCAGCTCTGTAATCTCCCCATCACCCAGTGATGCATTGGGAGCACCAGCTAGGGCAAATGGTTGCACCGGAGCAACCAAGGGTGTGGCATTGGGCAGCTGGTTGTTGGCCGCTGTAACTCGCAAAGGACAAGTGGCTGGCGACTCCCCACAAGCTGGCCTGGAAGGTGGCTGGTGGTTGGCTGTGGCACCGACCGAAGGGCGAATGACGTGCAACTCCCCACAGTCTGACTTGGGAGTTGGATGCCCAGTCGGTGGAACTGTGGCTACATTGCTGTTGTTGTTGGAAGCAAAGAGGGCCTCTGCCAGTCGCCGCTGCGTGGGCTTGACACTAGTGCCAGGCAACTCCCCACAATCGCGCTTGGGAGATGCGTGGTACCGGTTGTGCCTCCTAGTCCTGGAGGCGGCTGCTTTCTGCCTGAGGGCAGCTGCTTTTCCGTTGATCTTCTCGAGGTTTCGACTAAGGGACTTGTCAAGCAGCTGACGAATGCACCACTGTCGCTCCTCAATGAGACTATCAAGGGTAGTGCCAAGGGCTTGGATAGAGACGTGCTGCTCATCCAGACTCTTCATGATGGCCTGAACCGTATCCTCCCGGGTTGTAGGGGAAGGATGGCTAGTTGTTCTTGGGCTAGCCTGTTTCCTTGGTTCTCTAGCCTTCGAGGCAATCCGTGATGGTGCAGGAGTCACTGTGGGTATGTAGAGTGACATGGTTGCTTTCTTGCTGCCAAGGAAGAGGTGTAGGCTGTACTTGGTGGTAACACTGGATCTCAGCTCTTGTTGCAGTGCAACAAAGGCTGGCTCAACTGTAATCTGGAATCCACAAAGATGACCTCCAGGAACCTTGCTATGAGCCTGGAAAATTCAATCTAGGTGTAGTTGAATAAGGTAGCCAGTGTAGAGGAGCTGGAACCTGCTTCCTGAATTGCCGTGGTGCTGGGAATTGGCTTGGATTTGTGAGATTTTGCCTCACCGGAAGCTAGCTTACTGGGATCAATGAATCTCCACAAAGATGACCTCCAGGAACCTTGCTATGGGCCTGGAAAATTCAATCTAGGTGTAGTTGAATAAGGTAGCCAGTGTAGAGGGGCTGGAACCTGCTTCCTGAATTGCCGTGGTGCTGGGAATTGGCTTGGATTTGTGAGATTTTGCCTCACTGGAAGCTAGCTTACTGGGATCAATGAATCTCCCCACAAAAGCTCCAAAAATTCAAGGTGAGATATCCACTGAACAATTGAAGGGTGGCGGATCCACTGGTAACACTTTCAGCCAAGCGAATTGACCTCTTGGTCGTCTCGTGAGTCCTCGAGTTACTCTCTTGGGTAGGTTGGATCCGTCTCGAGCGAGTTCACGGAATTCAATGACTCGACGGTGTAAAATCTTTAAAATGTGAGCACAAACAGGTTACCGAGGCTGAGCTTGCTTTCGGATCGGGGAACGGTTGTGCCTTAAGCGCGAAACCGGTACGGAAACGCGTCGTATAAGTCTTCACAGATCCAAGATCGATCAGGAATTCTGGTGACCGGTAAAACTGACTCAGTGCACTCGTGATAAGTAACGAAACTGCAGGGGCGTTTTGATTGGCTGAGCGACTTTTCGAAAGAACGTCTTGGAACCCTTGTACGTTCCGTGGAATCACTGATACGGTATAGGACGGAAACTCGTGACTCTCGAAAACTGCACAGACAGGCTGAAGAGATAAGCCTCGGTCGTGAGCAATAAACCACGTAAATCGCTGAATTGATAAGCCACTATCAGAGAGAGATAAGCCTCGATCGACGTAATAAACAGCCGATGCTTCTTCGGATGTAAAAGGCTTGTTCGGTTGCCAAATGGGTGCAAAACAATAAGTCTCCTGTGCACTCGGAGACTCCAGGTGTTCCTTTACGGTGACCACTTCTTTTTGGCTGCTGTTGCCGTCAACCGTCAACAGGAACTCGCGTTTGGCAATGAGTCAAGTTGGTTGATATCTAGGTCCTTTTCAAGGCAATGGTGATGGTGTTGGCCTTGTAGTTGTATTGGTAGATGGTCAACAAGAAGGTTCCTGTCACTTTTGGTTGGTTGGCTTGGAAACTTATCAAAATGATCAGAAGGTTGTTGACTTAGGACTTCAAAAGTAGGCTTGAAATCAGCACCAAATTCCAATGAAATCAACTGTAGACCAATATATTGTATTGTAATTCGAAGAGGTCCTTTTCTCGTCAGGAGGTCTCTTCTTCCCTTAAGACTGCCTGAATCTATGCTGACTGTTAATCCAATAAGTTTCTTAAGGTCAGTTCCATACCCAAGTAGTGACTGGACCTCGCTGAAACCCTTCCTCAGGACAGCGGTAGTCAGGCAGTTCAGGGAGGCCTTGTCGTGCCTCAGGAGTTTTCCAACACCTCCAGTAAGCACCAAACCAAAGACTTGGCCTGTCAGTCAGACAGGAGGACAGCAGAGCTCTCTGCTGGCCCTTTGGGCCAGCTCTCCTCAGGAGCTGGGGCCTTCTTTATTCAATCGTGCAGTGGCAGTCTTGGGAACAGTACTATCTGCTACCTCCTACTGCTTCTGCCGGCCTCAACAGGATGTGATCAACTGCTGCGGTATCAAAGGGGCTACAAGCTTAATCAGGATCTCTTCAATCTTTCGTACTATTTTCTTAACTAAGTAGAAAGGACGATCCTTTCTTGCTGCTTTGGTTGGAGATAAGCCAGCTGTGGGTGCTGGAGCTGTAGGCCAGCATAGCTGTTGGAGCTATCTCTGACGGGATCCAGAGCTCTCGCTCCTAAAAGTTATCGTCTGTCTTTCTGCCGAGGTATCGCAGCTCCCGCTGACTTAGGTATTTCCTATTTCCTATTTCCTATTCCGGTGAAGCCAAAATATAGGGGTAGAGATAGCTTAAGCCAACAAAACTGGAAATGAAGGTTCTACAAATTTAGGGGTAAGAATAAATCATGATTATTCAAGGTTAGTGCACTCAACACAATAAGCCAGCAGAAGCTACAAAAGTTACAGGTACATACGGGAGTGATAGCTGTAAAATTATGGTTAGCGGGCAGCAACACACGACGAAGTCGGGTGTTGTCGCCAGGGCTAGCTTAAATTAAAAAGAAGATTACAATGAGGGAATGATACCGGGCGGCAACACACGACGAAGTCGGGTGTTGTCGCCAGGGCTGGCTTGAAAGAAGGTTGCAATCTCAAACATGTCATCCTTCTTCTATCTGTCTTTCTGCCGAGGTATCGCAGCTCCCGCTGACTTAATTGGAGTGCTTTCACTGTGTTTTTTGGCTGTCTTCGCTGAGCTCTTCGCTGTCTGCGCCGCCCGTGTCTTCGCTGTGTTTTCCACGAAAGATCCATTGGGTCACGACTACGACGTTACACGATTGAATCATTCGATTCGATTCGATTCGATTCTGTTCGGAGCGATCTTTTGGGGAAGCTACAGTACGCTACGGTACTAGTACCGGTACGTAGTAGTGGTTGTCGGCATCTGGCAAATACGGAAATTGTTTGATGTATGTATGAGCTATGTACCAGGTATGTATGTATGTATGTATGTATGCATCTGACACTTGACAAAGAGAAGAGATGAGAGAGAGAGGAAATAAGGCTTGTTTCGTTTTGCTCCGCGGAACCGGAACAAGCAAGAGTTTGCTACCGTACGGCACGGTATGGCTGGTACCTACCAGGATATTCAGCCGTGTGCGCGCAAGACAAGACCATGGGGTTGCTGCAAGGCGGTGGGATGAAATGAAACTGTAAGGACAACAACCAAGTATTTGTTTATTTATTTATTTGATCAAGGCAGAGAACTCTGTTTGACACAATGCATGTGCGCTGTAATGCAATGTAAGTCAATGATGCTGGAAACAAGGAAGCAGCAATACAATATACCGTAAGCAGTGCAAAAGTTTCGCAAAGAATTTTGACATGACAGACAGACACAAGAGGCTTTTGCTGAATACAAGTTCCTTCCTCCAGGCAGCTGGTTTTTTGTGGGTTTGTTCACAAGCTGGAGTGTGACGATTATTGTATCTTTTCTATTCATTCGTTCCTTCATATTCTACACGAGGGGATCATTTTTTCTTTTGTGTGTACCGTACGATTTTTTGTTTGTGTTTCTGCAATGCTGCTTATTATTATGATGATTTTTGCATTTTCTGTTCCATCTCTGCTGCCATATCAGCATAATCGGCCGTGTAGGCATGCGGTGTATAACTTCGAGTGGGTTGTACTTTTCGTGCTCCCATAAATGGTTCAAATTCGAGTGGATCCGCCGCTTCGCGACAATTGAATCCGTGATTGTTGTAAAAGCATCCGGCATCGCGTCGGAATTGCCAGAGTTTACAAGTGGGATTGTTGCAACAAGCATCGCGACACGCTCGTGCGGTATTGGCGCCACCCGTATCTTGTTTGCCACCCAATCCAAAACATTGTCCCGACAATTCTTGCGGATTCCAGCCATCGTCGGAACAACCGCCGTCAATTTCTACGCCTTCTTGTTTGGTTTTGATCCATTGGCCTTGCCAGACAGCCGGTGGTCGTGGTTCGCACCAAGCTGTCACTCCGTCCTTTTCATTGCCGACCCGAGTATCGGCGCCCCACAGACATCCTTCCTTTGCTCGGAATTGAAATGTGACACACGTGGGACTCTCGCAACAGGCGGTCTGGCAGGCTTGAGCTGTGGTATAGAGTTTCGATTCGTCCGTCGATTTGGTGCCGTCGCAATGACCTTGCAGCGGTTCGGGACGCCATTGACACGTATTAGTGGATGTGGAAGTGGATTGTGTGGAACTAGTACTAGTAGAAGAAGAATCCTCTGTCATGCTGCGACTGGCAATGGCAGAAACTTCTTCTTTGTCGTCTTGTTCTTTTTGGGCTGTTCGTAGCGAATTATGAATAGTAGCACTTGTGGCATGACTGTCCTGCTGCATCTTGCTCACCCCCATGACAATCACGACGACTGTCAGCACCATCAAGCACAGTTTCGTCTTGCACGACGTTTTCCGACCATGGTCTTTTTGCTCCACATCCTCTTTCAACGACGACGACGACGTTGATTGCGCTGTGGGACTCTTCTCCTTGGATTTTTGACGTTGTCCTGTCATGGCCATTGTTGCTACTCGTACTTGGTTCTTTCGACGAGAAGAAGAATAAATAAACAAGCTTCACTACTAGCTAGACTAGTCAATAGAATAATGAGTTGAGATATAGGTCTGCTCACCGAGGAAGATCGCTCCAGGGAGATGTGTCTTGGGCGTCTTCTAAAACGATGAGAAACCTCAACAAAGACCCTTCCGCTTCTCAAAGATCGCGGGAAACAAGATCCTTCATTCGCAGAATGACGTGGAAATCGTGACCCAATGGATCTTTCGTGAAACAGATTGAATTCGACACAGCGAAGACAGCTGTGAAAACACCATGTTCTGTTGGAGCATGACAGCAACAAAAACACCAAAGCACAATCCACACCACAAAAAGATGGACAACATGGCATGGAGCAAGACAATGGCAAGAGAGGGCTGGTACCAGCAGTAGTAGACCAAAGCTGCTTGGCAACTCCAGAGAAGCACAAGAAAGCAAAGCAAACAGATGATGTTGATATTATTATGGAGGTTTCCACGAAAGATGCTTCACAAGTTTAGTAGAAAGTAGGTAGTAATGTGATATCTAGTAGTCTTTGGTTGTTTGCTTTGTCTTTATTATTAGTTCAGGTTGGCTCAGATTGTGAGCTGATTATGCTATCTACATTTGCTCCTTGGGGGTCAAACCTGCACTTGATTCCTTGTAGATCAGGGGTATTCAGTGGGATTCCCTTGCCTTCAGGGGGCCTCAGGTACCACTGGGTTCTGGGATTGAATTACATTTCTACTAAGCTCTATCACTAGCTAGTCTTGAGGCAACTACAGGCACAACAAAAGAGCAGCAATAACAAAAACAAAACACAAGCAGTGCAGCAGCTTCAGGTTGCTTTGGCATTACAGGACATGGTGACTTCCATACGGTAGTCCAGCAGGCTACTACCAATGTCACACTTGCCCAAGAAGAATCCTGTTTACAACACAAAGATATCTGGGTCAACCAGATTTTCCCCTTTCTCGGCATGGGGCACTTTGCCTTTGCGGCACCTGTCAGTCACAACATGAAAAATCTCTACATGGCTTACTGTGACACTGTGGAGAAGCCTCCAGAGGTTAGAGATGCGTGTTGCATACGCATCGCAACAAAGACGGATACTTTCTGTACTGCCATTGTGTCCTCTGTGTCGTGCACCGAGTATTGGTGCGCTTATTCACAAACTAGAACTGGAGGGCAGATTCGAGACTCTCCCATCTGTGCTGCAGCTGCCAGGGTGGGGAATCTACAAGTTCTTCAATTGGTACGGAAAAAGAGATTCAATTGGGATGACGACACGTGCACAAATGCTGCAAAGAATGGCCATTTGGCCATCCTCAAATATGCCCATGAAAATGGTTGCAATGGTTGGAACGCAAGGACATGCTATTATGCAGCGAGAAATGGCCAATTTGAAATCTTGAAGTATCTCCATGAAAACCGGTGTCCTTGGGGTGCAAGGACATGCAGCTGTGCTGCTGAGAATGGTCATCTTGAAATCTTGCAGTATGCCCATGAAAATGGATGTCCTCGGGATGAATGGACATGTATCAGTGCTGCAGAGTATGGCCATTTGGAGATCCTCAAATATGCCCATGAAAATGGGTGTCCTTGGAGTGAAGGTACATGCGAATATGCTGCTGCCAATGGCCATTTCGAAATCCTGAGATATGCCCATGAAAATGGGTGCCCTTGGACTGAATGGACATGCACTGAAGCTGCAGCAGGGGGAGATTTGGAAGTGTTGACATATGCCCATGAAAATGGATGTCCGTGGTCTGAATGGACATGCAATTTGGCGGCCCGGAATGGTCATTTGGAAATTGTGAGATATGCCCATGAAAACGGATGTCCTTGGGATTCAAAGATATGTATGCATGCTGCAAAGAATGGATATTTGGAAATCCTGAAATATGCCCATGAACATGACTGTCCATGGCACGCAGAGACATGCCCCACAGCTGCTACGAATGGCCATTTGGAAATCCTGAAATACGCCCATGAAAAAGGTTGCCCTTTGGGTGCATATACATGCAGCAAAGCAGCAGAGAATGGCCACTTGAAAATATTGAAGTATGCCCATGAAAATGGCTGCCTGTGGGACGAACAGACGTACAGCCATGCAGCCCAAGGTGGTCATTTGGAAATGCTCAAATATGCCCATGAGAATGGATGTCCATGGGATGGATGGACATGCCACAATGCTGCAAGAAATGGACATTGGGATGTTCTGAAATATGCAGTTGAGAATGGTTGCCCATGGGATGAAGGTGATTTGAGGATTGTCAATAATCGGCAGTCACCAGATTGGGTTCTAGACTTGCTCTTTCAGAATAATTGAATGGCTGAGCTTCTGTTGAACACACAAAGTGTCAGCAATATATTGTTGGCCTTTTTTGTCTGCTTGCTTGGTTCGTTGTCTGATGGTGCGTCAACTTTGGAAAAGGTGCCTGCTGTATGTTTTCTTGGCTATGCTTTTTGTCTAAAGAAGCAAACTCACTGAATAAGCTACGAGAGTATGAATACGATGTATCGTCCGTTCGCAATATATTTCTTTAGATAGTAAAGACATGCTTTGCTACTAAATGATTTGCTGCGTGCGCAAAGACTAACAAACTACCTCTACATGATACCGGTGGGCTGCGCGGTATCGAATGGGCTCCATTGTACCGGTAGCTAGCTGCGATATTAGCTAGCTAGCTACGGTAACCAGCTCATCGGTTCATATTTCTGTCTTGGAAGCGTGGGCCTACTTGACGGCAACAAGCTGCAGACCGTCCACCTTGGATTGATTTGCCTGCCATGGTTTCCGCGCAGTTTGGCGTTACGCAGCACATCAACATACCAATCAGGAGCATCCTGCGACGGATGTCTCTTCCATCTTTCTGTTCGAGCCAAAATAAATTCGAACCGCCTCGCGTTGATTAAAGCTTGGACGCGCAGTTGCTTGTGAGATCTTTTGCGCTGTCCAAATGCCTCCGACAATCTCGCTCCGTTGCGTCGTTGCGTCTTTTGTCAACGGCTTGGCTGTCCCTGTTGAATTGTGGGCGCAGCATTGTTGTTATCCTACATGTATTGTTGCCGTGGAGTGAGTTAAGTGTAGTCGAAGATATATAAGAGATAGCAGAGTAGAATGAGTAACTCTCGTCGAGTGTCGTACTTTTACGATGCCGAGATTGGAAATTATCATTATGGTCAAGGTAGGTGAAGTGATGTCTACTCGAGTAGCTAGTAGTGGGTAGCATGAATGAACGATACCATAACTAACTAGCTAACAACATCTGACGATCTATTATAGGCCACCCAATGAAGCCACACCGCGTCCGCATGACACACAATTTGGTGGTGAATTATGGTCTCTACCGCAAGATGGAAGTATTTCGTCCTCGACTGTGCAGTCCGACCGCCATGACAAGGTTTCATTCCGACGATTACATTAACTTTTTACGTGTCATTACGCCCGACAACATGCAAGAGTACATTCGACAACTCCAGCGATTCAATGTGGGAGAAGATTGTCCCGTCTTTGATGGATTGTTCGAGTTTTGTCAACTCTACACATCGGGCAGTATTGGAGGTGCTGCCAGATTGAATGAAAACCGTGCTGATATTGTCATTAATTGGGCTGGTGGATTGCATCATGCCAAGAAGGCTGAAGCCAGTGGTTTCTGTTATGTCAATGACTGTGTCTTGGCCATTTTGGAATTGCTCAAACGACACGAACGCGTCCTCTACATAGACATTGACATTCATCACGGCGACGGAGTCGAAGAAGCCTTTTATGCCACCAACCGGGTCATGACGGTGTCCTTTCACAAATTCGGAGAGTACTTTCCCGGAACGGGCGATGTCTTGGATATTGGATATGCGGATGGCAAGAATTATGCCATTAACTTTCCACTCAATGACGGAATGGATGATGCCGCCTATCAATCCATCTTTCGACCCGTCATTGGGAAAGTCATGGAATTGTTTGCACCCGGGGCCGTCGTACTGCAGTGTGGAGCCGATTCGCTCAGTGGAGATCGACTCGGGTGTTTCAATCTATCAATCAAGGGACACGCCGATTGTGTTGAGTTTGTTCGGACATTCAACATTCCCATGCTGGTATTGGGGGGAGGTGGGTACACACTTCGTAATGTCCCACGATGTTGGACCTACGAAACATCCGTCTTGACGGGAGAAGATGTCAAGGACGAATTGCCGTTCAATGATTACTTTGAGTATTTTGGACCCGATTATCGGTTGCATTTGCCCGTCAGCAATCTCGAAAATCTCAATTCGAGTGAATACCTCGAACGCACCAAATTGCAATTGCTCAACATTCTCAAAGAAGTCGAACCCGTGCCGGGCACTCAAATTCAAACGGGACAAGTCGAATCCCAATTGCATCCTCAAATCGGTATGCCTGTCTTAGGAGACCACAACAACGACAACAGCCACATGGAGGAAGATGATCCGGACAAGCGAGCACCGGCACCGGCGGCCATGGTGTGAAGGAATGATCACAGGTGAAAACAAAAAGACGACAACACTGCGGAAAAAAGAAAATGGGGGTCGGCTAGCTAGTATACAAAGAGAGCTGGCTGTTTACGACTCACTAGAGGGTTGCTGCAAAAGGGATGGCCACGGTGCCAGGCACACACAGGTCTACCGTACCATATTTCGTCTCCATACTACATTAATTTTACAACAGTACCTATAAAGGGTACGAGACTACTGCTGGCTAGTTATGATTGTGCTGTTTTGATACTACCCAGTGTTGTCATTGCTTACCTTGCCGTCTACAATTTCAACTGCTGTAACAGTCCTATTGTTTCAGACAGACAGCTCGCAGGCTTTCTGTACCTGTAGGGAAGGAGCATCGCTTCGTCGTTTCATGGATCCGTAGTGGTTTGGACTGCACTGCCACCAAGAATAGAAACCATACAATCAGCCATCACTCAGTCACTAACTTGTCCCTTGAGCTCGTTAAGCTTTTCCTGCGCTTTGTTTTTGTCACTGAGCTTCATGTGCTTCCTTTTACAGCCACCAAGAGCCTCTTCAAGCCAACGGGTGGCCTCTGCTTTATCCACAATCATACCATGCCGGCCTTCTGCCAAGGCCATTCCTAAATGATATGCTGCAAAGTCAGATCCTTGGCCTGCTGCAATGGACATGTACATCACGCCCCTCTTGATGCACTTGTCCACGCCGAGACCATGCAGATAGTAGTACCCTATCGATGCTGTTCCGCGAGCATTTTTTGCCCCATGAGCTCTCCTGTACCACTGAAAGGCTTCCTCGTCGTTTTCCTTGAAACCATCAATTCCATAATGATAGTTAAGTCCTAGATCATACATAGCATCTGCATCACCAGCTTCTGCCTTCTTCAATAGTTTTTCCATGTCCTTCTTCTGCTTCACCTTTTCATTCCACTTGTCAGCCAGATCTCCATCAATGACACCAGACTCCACCAGAGTATCAATGTGGTTGCGAACCCAGATTGCTGACAAGAGCTTTCTGCCCATCTTTTCATTGGTGATTGGTGATCTGAGATCTTCAGGATTCTTCTCAATGTGTTCCTCAATGGATTCCTTTTCATAAACTCGTCCATCTTCGGCAATAACAGGATCCCATGGCAATTCCAAATTGATGGGACAAATCAAATCATCCGATGGTGACTTCTTTGGACGCTTGTTACTTGGCGGTTGTTGATTCTCCGAGTCACTAACGACCGCTTCGGGTTGCCGTTTTGTGCTGGCACTGCTCTTATTGCTGGCCATGGCTGGAAAAGTGTCAATACCAACAAACTGAGTCGATCGATTAGTAACGAACGAGAGTGGAAGGTGCTTTTGGAAGATATCTTCCAATAAGGATCTGTTGATCTGATTTCGTTGTACTATTGTTCCACTGTTCTCGGTTCCGCTGTTGCGATCTGACGTTGCACAGTCGTATGGCACAAGAACACATTCATGCATGGCACCAGACGAGCATTAGAGCTACCGTTGGGGAAATATTAGCAAGAGATGACCGATGGAACAGCTCTGCTGGCCACTCCCCAACGAAAGATCGAAGGATCCACAATCACAACATCACTAGCTAGGTAACATCAAGCCAACACCAGACAGCCTTCATCCATCGATCATCAATCATTTTCACCATGGACGAGATTCGCCCCTGCCGTGTCAAAGGCTTGACGAGTGAAAGGGGTCTCAAGCTGAACGGGATGGCAGCTTCTGCTCTTTTCCTGGGTTTTGGCAAACAGTTGGAGCGGCGCGTGTCCGTGCATGTCGAAGGACAGCCCAAGTCCCTCTCTCTCAAGTATGGGAAACTGGAGTTTTTCCCCAACAACGACGGTATTTTCGATGGTGGCATTGGAGTCGGTCGAGAAACCATTCGCGATACCATATTCATGGCCACTGCCATTGATAACGTTGCACAAACCATCATTTCCAAAGAGCCCATTTAAGGGAGAGCCGAACGGTCTCGTGGGAACTTGATGGCCGTGGCAGCGCATGTGAGCGCACAGGATCAGAAAGCGGTGAACAAGGGATCATTCTCATGTGCACCGATCTCAATATTTCCATCGTCATCAATCGCATCGTCACGGGAGGAGGAGACGCTTCACTTGCGGCGGGACAACAACAAGCTGCCTTGGAACCCATTCGAAATGACATACGACAACTTTTGGATCAGGGACATATCGTGTTTGCCAACTATCGACCGCACCGGATCCAACCGGATCCCACGACACGTCGTGCCAACGACCAAAGCTGGGGTCCAACAAGACTGCAGGCTGTGAAAAAGGGATGGTTTGCGATCTTTCCCAGCAGTAGACTGAGCTATCTAGATCAACTCGAAGTTTGGTATTTGCAGGATCTCAACTCGTCCTTTCTGGCAAGAAATGAGTGCTACTTGGATTATGGGATGGAAGAAGTGGAAGCTTATGTATGCAACACGCTGGCATTGGGAGATATCGAGCGACTGTATCCGCTGACCATGGCGCAGGTAGATCCGCAAGCCTTTTGGTCCGCCATCCTTCATGTGGACAAACACTGTGAAGTACTAAAATCGTTGCGTCCAGGGGACAACGAATTCCAAGAGCAATGGGAGGAGATTCGCAAAGGAGTACAGCTCAGTAGGGTGCTGTGGAAAAAGGTTGCCGGTGCGTCCACATGCCCCGGGAGATTGCCAGACGCTGTAATAGATGGAAATGGTTCTTCCACAGGTTGGGGCATTCTTGATTCGGAGGACCAGCACAACAAAGTTGCCGAAGGTTGTGCCCACATTGCTGTGCTCATGATGTTGGAGGCAGCCGAAGTGGAGGCGGGGAAAGAGTTGTTAAAGCCCATGAATGTTCACCTGCTGGACATCCCAATGGGCGAGCCAGCTCCGCCAATCCACAAGTTTGCTGTCTTGCTCCGATCACTCTTTTGCCGTGAACAGAATGAGTTGGAATGTGGAGGACAAACAGTATTGCATGCAAGCGATCGCAAAAGATTTCTCATGGGCGTTCTCGATGAAATGGGATATGCGAGCAGTGACTTGAACTACAGTAGTGTCTGCGGTCACTGTGGCAACAACTCATCGGAAGCGGACCGTTTATCAGTCTGCAGCAAGTGCCAAGGTGCTGCGTATTGCAACCGAGAGTGCCAGAAATGTGATTGGAAGAAACACAAGAAAGAGTGTAGCTCCTCTTTGGCCCAGCATAAAAGAGCCGTGCATCAGCTTGCTGCCAAGTATGAGCTACTATAATTCTCGTACTAGCTGGCAATGTTATTGAGAGACCATGCAGTAGTACCGTACGGTGTCGCCCACAATGTATGTGTTCCAGCACTTTCGATTCCAAAAACAAACAAAAGTCATGATGAGAGGAGCTACATGCATCTTTTAAAAGGTGGACACACGAGTATTAGACAACTACAATCCCTAGTCATAATTTATAGTTTCAGAGCTAGCCAGCCTTCATTAGGGAAGAAGCATGTCTTCATCGTTACTTGGATCCGTGGTGGTTTGGACTGTAGGGAAGGGGGAAGAAGCAGGGCTTCATCATTTATTTCTTGCAGCCAAGAGTGCAAGACCAAGGATAGTAGCCAAGAACCAAATAATCAACCTTTACGCAGTCAAAATTTATGCCTTGAGCTCATCAAGCTTGTCCTCGGCTTTGCGTTTAAAACATAAACCCAATTGCTTGTGTTCGCAGTCCCCAAGGGCAGTTTCAAGCCAATGAATTGCCTCTTCTTTATCCTGAATCATACCACGACGGCCATCTGCCAACGCCGTTCCCAAATGATACGCTGCCAAGTCTGATCCTTGGCCTGCTGCAATGATACGTACATCATGCCCCTCTTCACAGACCTGTCCACACCAAGACCATTCAGATAGCACAACCCAACCTGTACCGTTCCGTAAGCATATTTAGCCCTCATGAGCTCTCTTGTACCACCGAAAGGCTGCCTCAAGGTCTTCCTTGAAACCATCACTGCCACTCTGATAGTTAAATCCAACTGTGCACATGGCATCTGCATCTCCCCTTTCTGCCTTCTCCAACAGTTTCTTCTGCTCCACCTTTTCATTCCACTTGTCAGCCAATTCTCCACCAATGACACCAGACTCCACCAGAGTATCAATGTGGTTTTGAACCCAGTTTGCTGGCAAGAGCTTGCTACCCATGAAATCATTGGTGAATGGTGATCTGAGATCTCTGGAGTTCTTCTTAACGTGCCCAATGTGTTCCTCAATGGATTCCCGTTCATAGACTCGTCCATCCTCTGCAATGACTGGGTCCCATGGCAATTCCAAACTGATGGGACAGATCAAATCATCCGATGGTGACTTCTTTGGGCGCTTGCTGGGTTGTTGATTCTCTTCCAAAGAAGAAAAAACTTTGCGTTGGGGTTTAGAGCTTGCCATTTCTGCGAGCCCTGAGGATCCTTTCCAAAACGCCAAGACGAAAACAAGTACAGAACACTTCTGAATGCAGAACCACCGACGCCGATGGATTTGTACCGTACTGGTATCTCTGAACAAGATGAAAGCAACAGTAGCTACCAGTAGCAAGCTAGTTGGTGCAACTTGGTGTCGAGTGTCGACACGAACAAGACAACTGAGAGGATGAATGAGAAACCACTACGACGACAAACAAAACAAACGGCTCATTTTGTGTCGTGTAAGCCAGCGAGCTGGCTTGTGATCGTAGTATCGACCCTCTAGATTAATCGAATCGAATTGAATCGAATATTTCAATCGAACCGATATCTCATTCGATTGAAGATTCGATTCGATTCCGGCATTACACTGTACTACTCTCGCTAGCTAGCTACTAGCTAGCTAGTGCTAAGGTACTAGTACCGATAGTAGGGAAATTATCTACCCAAGCCAGCCAGGGCCAGGCTCAAGCAAAGAATAGTCCAAATTCTGGACTAGGTTCTGTGGGATCAGGGGCAAGAAATGGTAGTTTCTAGCCAGATGTCATCACCACAGGCACTGCCAAGAAGCGATTGAATCGTCACGAGGATAACGATGAGAGGAGCTATTTCAACGTAGCTTGCTGCTGAGGGTAACTCAGGAAGCAAGCATCAGACTCGAATCAAGCGGGCTTTCATACCCAGCACACGCCATAGGATGGGATGGTCCGTTGGAGCTTTCGTACATGCATGCTAGCATGCTAGGTTTTCTTTCCCATATGCAGGATGTTCCTGGCCATCAGGCGGCACGTTGCGTTGACCGGGGGCACCGGTACGATGTACGGTACGCTCCGCCCACATTGGTCGCTTCTCGATGTGACAACACCGCCGATCTGTAGCATTCAGCATCATTCTAATGGCTCGCTCGCACTAAAGTTACATACCATGTAGTCTGTTCAGGGCTTGAAACAAGCAGCCAGTTGAAGCCTGCCAACAAGCAATCGCATCGTCAAGAGGATGACGATGGAAAAACTATTTCGACGTGACCTGCTCGGAAGGCACAGCGCTCTACTTTTGCATGTTGCTGAGACTATAACATCATCATTGTCACGCCGGGCCTCTTGGTGCTGTTGAGACTTGGCGGCAGTACTGGGTTGCAGGTACCAGTAGAGACGGCATTGGCTGCAATACGACCTTTCCTTGTTCTGAGGACAGGATGCAAGCAATCCCTGTAGAACCCAGCTGATGGGAGTTTAGAAGGAAATTTGATTGCTTTGTGATGCCATTTTTATACCTATGATTGCCTACATGTACTAGCAAAGAATTGCTTGCTGCCACCAACTTCCAAGAAATAGATATAAACAAGCAGCAGAATCAAAGGGAGCCACGCTGACGTACAACATTTGTTTCTGTCACTGCAACCAAGAATACAAACCCGAGGATAAGTGAGACCCATAATCGGCCAGCACACATCACTCAGTCACTAGTTTGCGCCTTGAGCTCATTTAGTGTTTCGCGGGCTTGGTTCTTGGCAGGCAAACTCAAGTGCTTGTATCTACAGTCCCCAACAGCCTCTTCAAGCCAACGAATGGCCTCTGCTTTGTCCTTGATGACACCATGCAAGCCATCTGCCAGTGCCATTCCCAATTCATATGCCGCCCAGTCTGATCCTTGGCCTGCTGCCATGGAGATGTACATCATGGCCCTAATCACACACTGTGTCACACCAAGACCAAGGAGCTAGTAGTACCCTATCCACATTTTTAGCCCCATGAGCTCTTTCGCACCACTGAAAGGCTGCCTTCGGATCTTTCTTGAAACCATCACTTCCATACTGATAGTTGACTCCTAGATCATACATGGCGCGTGCATCTCCACCTTCTGCCTTCTTCAACAGTTCTTCCATTTCCTTCTTCTGCTTCACCTTTTCATTCCACTTGTCAGCCAGATCTCCATCAATGACACCAAACTCGACCAAGGTATCAATGTGGTTGTGAACCCAGTTTGCTGGACAGAGCTTGCTGCCCATCTTTCCATTGGTGATTGGTGATCTGAGATCTCCCTGTTTGTTCTCAATGTGTTCCTCAATAGATTCTCGTTCATAGACTCGTCCATCCTCTGCAATAACAGGATCCCATGGCAATTCCAGAGTGATGGGACAAATCAAGTCATCGGTGGGTGACTTCTTTGGACACTTGTTACTGGGTTGTTGATCCTCTTCCAAAGAAGCTTTGCGTTTGGGTTTAGAGCTTTCCATTCTGGGAGTTGGAGTGTACCTTGCCAAAAGGAAAACAAGTATAGAACAGTTTCTGAAGGCACAACGACCGGCACCTCAATACCAATGGTAGCCAGCTATGTTGCGGCTGAGTTGGTGCTAAAAAAGGTATGCGCTGTCCAACAAGTATGCCATAGATCTATAGAAGAGCGAGGAAGCAAAATTATGGAATACTACACTGTAGTAGCTCCGCATTGGGTTCGCTGTTCGGCGGCACGGCGGCACCAACAATAGCGATCGAAGCGAAGGGGTTTACTAATTGATATTCCGTTACAACGTTTACTGAAAAGTGGGATTTTCCCGTGAGTTAGTTTGGAACAAAACAAAAGAGAGATCACGTCATTGGATGGATGGGAAGGTACGACTGTATGTTGGATCCGATTTTGCAAAGGTTTGCTTTGCATGCATGCAACGAGCGAGGTCTGTCCCACCTATGAATAGGTGGCAAGCCATCACCTGATTTCTGGGGTGTGGCAGTGCTTCTTGAGAACTAAAACATAGATTATGCATTTACAGTTTCAGTTACAGTCTATCTAAGCTGAAAATTTGTAGTGTGACGTGAGATGAGTTGGCGTGTGTGGGTGGAAGAAGAAAAGACGGGAAGGGATGAAAGTAAGTAGCTTCTTCTGTCTTTCTTGTTCGTGTGTTTGTGATGTGTGCTACATGGCCCAAACGAGACGCAGTGCTTCTTGGTTAATGTCGTGACGCAGCGTCTCCTTTTCTTGATGCGTCTTGCGTGGTTGTTTCTTGGGAAATGCTCGCAATAGTTTGGGTGTGGTACGACAAAACTCTTGCACAGTCCTTTCTTTCGTGTATCCCGCTTGTTGGTACACTTCGTAGGCATCGGTCGCTCCTTGAGCGGCTCGTGCTCGGGCCGTCTTGACTTGATCTTTGCTCAATGCCATGGCAAACGCTCGCAATCCCGTTGTATCGATTCCCACCGTGTCTTCAATTTCACTTTGCATTGACAAGACGCTCTTGACGTGATGATCGCGACGACGGCGACTTTGTTCCGAAAAGGCCGAGTCATCATTGCTGCTAGTATTCTCCTTGTTGGAGAGGAGGCTCTGAAGGTTGTCTTGAATGGACTGACGATCGTACCACAGCAGAGACTTGTGCTCCTCCGTAATGATAACGCCATCGTCCTCCAGAACGTGATACGAACTCGACCCAAAGGTTACTTGTTTGTTGGTGATGGACATGCTTGTTTTTGATGATGGATGTGCTGATGTATTGTATGAATGGATGGATGGATGCTCTACTTCCCTTGTTGTACTAATGATACCTTGTAGTTTATTATGAGAGCAAACCCATCCATCATGCAGCATCAAGGGTTCCTGTTGCGTCAAGCGGCTCCAAGCGACGGTTTGCAAGATCATCGATGATGGCTCCGGCGGCTTGGAAATGTGAGACACCAATCTCAAGCAGACAACACAAAAATGCGTCATTTACAATTACTATAACAAAGATAGTACACAGTAGCTTTTTTATAGCTCTTGCACTGGTGACAAAGAACAACAGGTGGGGGCATGACTGACAAAAACTGACGATAAAGAACAAGTACTCGAGAATTTGACACTTTTGGAGTTCTTTGAGAGGTCATTCTGACTGCACTAGACGGTCTTCACTTTTTTCCACGGCGTGGATGCTCCTCTGGAAATCGTTGATTGGTTTGTGGAGCTGCAACCCAGAGCTTTGGTTTGACTGTGCATTTCCTTTTGCATTTCGTCGTCAGGCTTTCTAATAATAAACAACCAGACTCACTCCAGTGTGTGAATGGGGAGGCTGGCTGGAATATGCGCTACGGTACTGAAAATGGTATGGTGGCACCACTTGGTGGCTTCCATCTGTAGAGGCGCCTCCACAGTACCGTATGTTGGAGTCCTGTCTTGCTTGGGGCATTCCTTGATTCTTCAAGTCTAGCTAGCTACGGTAGTCCCCGCTCATCGTTGCTCGCTTTGCAAGTGAATTCACTGATGAAGAAGCCATCCATGTCAATTCGCGTCAGGGTTTCCTCCTTCGTCCAGTCACTTCTTGCTGGCTGGGAGCGAGGTCGCTCGGAGGTAGTCTACTAGTAGCTAGTTCTTTATTCATGCATGTTTTCAGGTGTCAGGTATTTATTTCTTCCTACTCTTGGTCCCCCCGCCGTGCTTGGGGGGTTCAGCTCTGCATTTCAGGCGTCAGGGTTTCTTCCATTGCGGCTGCTCCTGGTATGGCCCTCAGCCATAATGTGCTATCCATCGAGGCCGATTTCTTCTCCCCTTCTTGGCATGGCTGTCTGGGTCGTTTTCGTTCATATATTTTATGTGCAGGCGTCAAAGCTTCTTGTATGACACTCAGCCATCACTGTACAACTAGCAAGCTACCAGTATCCACTCCTCACTTTTCTCCTGTCGGAAGATGGGCTCGTCGTGGATTGTTCACTTACAACGGATCTAGCTAGCTCGTGCGTATACCGAGTGGCTCCCATTGGAAGGCCGAGTTTGGAAACTCATAGTGATAGCTTCAGCTACCGTACAGCTGGTGCCCCTCTCGGACATGAGTCTGCGGGCTGGCCGAGCTACATGTATATATCAACGCTCTTGCTGTGCGGTCGGGCAAATGAAAGTCAATTACGGTGGGTACTAGCTAGAAACCAGAGAAGTGCTCAGGCAGGCCATGGGAAGGACCACATGCAATGTTCGAATTTTGCGGTTACGCTGCGGGAGCACAACGTGGATGGATGCGGTTCATCGAGTAGGCTCCGAGAGTAAAGAGGCCTGTTCGCTGAATGGCATCGGCATTCCCCATGAGCCTGCAAGCTTCCACCATATAGGACATCATCCCTGGGATGTTCCCGCTTGCCAGGTGTAGGTTGCCCACAATGATCAATTGGTGATACAGAGTCTCCACTGGGGCAACGTTGGCACCGTCGTCTTTGCGTTTGTCGGCGCTTTGGTACGACAGCACACTTTGCTTCAACATTTGCAACGCTTCTTCCAAGTACACAATGGCCACCTTGTGTTCACCTCGTTCCAAATGAATGCCCCCAAGCTTTTGGAGGTTGGTGGCCATTTCTGGACACGCTCTTCCTCCGAACACTGCCTTTTTGAACTGGATTGACTTTTGAAACAGTTGCAAAGCAATCTCATCTTCGCCTCTTTGAATGTACACCACTGCCAAGTTGTACAGGACTGCCGAAATGGCGCCGTTGTGTCGATGCAGTGATGTTTCGTTCTGGTGGTCCAAGAAGAGCGTCTTGGCCGCACGAAACAATTCCAAATGCTTGGCCAGACTGGCCTGCAGAGTATCTCGTGCTTCATCGTAGCTTCCAACTTCACAGAGAATCATTCCAATCGAATTCAAGGTTGTGGCAATCTCAAAGTGCCGATGCACACCAGTGTCATCATTGTCATGCTGCAAATGACTCTGGATGGTCAGTACTTGCTTATAGTGCTGCAGTGCCGACGAGTAGTCTCGCAGAGCATAGTAGACCAACCCCATGGACGAGAGAGTGGCAGCCATTTCGGTCCGTTTCGCACTGCTGTCTTGTTGCTGCAGCAGTATGAGAATGTAGTGATACGTCTTGAGGGCCTCGTCGTGCATGCCGCATCGTATGTAGAGCTGTGCCATGCTTTGGAGTGTCATAATGATTGCGGGGTGTCCAGGCTCGTCTTGGAGGGCTTCTCGCTGCAGGTTCAGAGCTGTTTGATAGTGCTGCAGTGCCGCATCCATGTCTTGGAGTTCCATGCAGAGCAGCGCCAAGTCATTCCGGATAGTTGCCAGGGACAACTTTTGCTCTGATGTCTTGGGGCAAAAGGTGGACTCGGTCAGTACTGCCGTTTCCAACATTTGTCGGGCTTGTATGGCCTCTCCTTGGCGGGCATGGAGTTTGGCCAGTTCCTTCAGGATTTGCACATATGTCTTGCGATGCTGTTGCTCCACCATGATTTGTCGTTCTTCGCAGAACGTGGCTAACCCCACGAAGGCTTGGCAAAGAGCAGCTTTGCGGGAACTCGTGTCATCTTCTCCTGCCAGGCCTCTTGCTTCATCTTTACCTTGCCATTCGAGCACACAAGCGATGGACTTGAAGATAATATTGGCTGCGGTTGCCGTGAGAACAGAACGGCTAGCCAGTGAGTTCGGGTGAAGTAGGTGCTGGGATAGTGACTCCTGAAGTTTCCTGCAGAACTCGAGGGTATCCGATTGAAGCATTAACGCAATCTGGGAATCATTGAGCAAGGAAAGGCTGGATAGGAAGCGTGTGTGTTGGTTCTCTACCGTGAAGGACATAATGTAGGAACTTGAGATACCCCCTGTGGCACTCATTGATGCGGAGGATAATGTCATTGCACCACTCTTGGAGGCTGATTGTCCTTGACTCCCTTCAGTGCTCGTCACTCTTACATTGATAGAGTCCAGCACTCTGCTACTAGTGTTGGATCCCTCCTGAGGGCTACCGGCGTCGCTAGGTTTGTTCATTGTCGGAAAGATTGATGCGACGGAGATAAAAGTCTCTCGAATGCAAAAAAGTGAAGGTACCCTTACAAAATTGAACTGGAGGTGCTTTACCAGATAGCAATTGAAAAATAGTGGTTAACCCAATTTCTCGCCAGGAGCCTGCAAAAGAAAACTGTCGGTCGATAGCGAACTCGAGGAATTGCCAGAACGGCTGCAGGAGGTATCAGGTGATCAGGTGAGCTATCAGGTGATGCCCGTTGCTTCCTCCAAAGGACGTCTTATTTCTTCTTGCTCGAAATTGAATTGTGAGGAGCTGTTTTCTCAGTTTTGCTTCAACTTGGGTTTTCTATCTTCAACTTGTCGAACTGTTCTTGGGACAAGTGGACTCCAAGGACACCTAAGGCAGCTCTTAGGGCAATCCTGTAAAAACATTTCTGATAACTCCTTGATAGCTCCTTCATGCAATTTCCTGACGTTTGGGATCTTGCCTCTTAAACCTGAAACATTTTCGAACAGAAAGCTGATCGTAAAACCGAATCGAGATCTTCAACCGGGTATTACCGGTAGCATCTATTTATCTATTTGAGCATAACGAACTCCTCCTAGGGTAAAAAAGCTACTTGGTCCTGATTGGCTACCGCACCGGTACTAGCCGTAGTACACAGTACGGTAGATTAATCAATAGCTTTCAGTATTTACGATTGCATTCTCTTGGCTGGAATAGGATCTAACACAAAGAGTAAGTCAGTTTTCACCCACTTCAAGCAATGTGTTAAATATTTAAAGAATTGAGTTTCTTTGCACGAACTCCTTCAGATTGAAGTAAAGAGACAACTAAGCCTCAAAATGCTAAATACGAGCAGTTGCGGCCCAATATAGTGATCCATTTTGTTCTTCATGCCTGCGAGAGCAAGATGATGGCTGGGTGATCCATCCAGATCTTCACCATCCTTTGACTGCCAGCAGTACCGGTATCCTTGCCAAGCTCCTTGCCAGCAGCGGAAGAAGCGATTGCTAGTATGCTAAAACTCGACCCCGGTGTGGCTAGGATTTGCCCCAGCTCGTCACTGTTAGATGATGCGTTGCCTTCCTCAGTGTGGCCAATTTGCAAGCGCAACACCAGTAGTTAGTTCAGCCTTAGTTTAGGCTTCACAGGACATCTAGACATCAGCATCTCAAGCTTTGATTGCTTCTTGGTGCTTCATTGATTTGTTGACAACTTACTTGAGCTACCGTAGCTAGTGCGAATGGACTGACTCGACTCTGCTGGAAAGAAACTCGGAAGATCCACTTGAGCCAGAGCTTCACATGCGTTGCACATGGTACGGTGACATTGCTTGTGCATCCTTGGCAAGGTTGCGGAACAAAGAACCACAGTGAGGTGGATCCGCAACTCAAGCTCCCAACGACCTCGAAACCTAACAAGAAGGCCAGTGTTTTGAGCCACTGCCTTCGAAGAACCAATGCTACTAAAAGGCTACCTTCCAATCCCCCAACTGGCTGTAACTGCACCACTCTATCTCACAATTTCAACTCTTTCGTCTTCACTACATGTACAAATTACTTGGGTCTAGAAGGACCTATTTTAAAAAACCTTGTATTAAAAAAAAGAAACATGTGAACCCATAACCCACAAATGTCACCTCCCTCTTGCCACAATACCAGAGGGCAGTCGGATATACCGATAGGAAAAAGTCCATCAAAAACAGATTCAAACACTGACAGCTGTTGGATCACCTTGGCTGGGAAACTCAGGGTTTTGCAGCTCCTGGCATACTGGTTGGTTGGGACCGACCACTGACTTTGGTCCAGTACTTCTCATGGGAACGCTGTAAAGTAGGTGACAGAGGAGACGACCACGACCCCAAAAATACACACTACCCAATGCGCGGCTTCTCCTCCTTGCTCTCCATTGCGCCGCGCCAGAGCCACGGCAATGGCGGGTGGCATGATAAACGCCAATGTGCCCTGTGCCACTCCTCCCACCAAATTGGCAACAGTCCCAAATCCTCCAATCTTGGTGAGTCCCCAGCAGCACGCCACGGCGGTAGCGACCATGGCAGTCCGCCAGTTGTGGCTGGGGGGCAAGAGTGCCGCCTCCAAGATTTGCCGTCCTCCCAAAAAGACGATTGGGAAGGTAAAGAGCAAGTCCACACAGAGCAAAAGCTTCAATGCCGATAGGTAGGGTCCATTACTGAGATTTCCCAGAACCAAATCTTGGGTATTGTGACCATAGAATCCCAAACAGAGAATGGCAAAGACGACATTAACCAGCCAGACTCCGGCCACGGCCGTATTGACAGCACTTGCGTATTCTTCCTTTGGATTGGCCATGCTATTGAGAATGGGAAAGGTCAAAAAGTTGATGCAGAAGAGATAGGCAATGGTACCAAAGGAAGACCCAAATGCTTTGGCGAGAGAGTCGGGCCACAGTGGCATGTCCCAGATCTGTTCCAGCGCCACGCCAAAACCCGGCTCGACCCATATCCCCGATGCCAGTGTCACCAAGATCCCCCCCATGACGGCACCAACTCCCAACGCACTGGTGAATGCAAACACACGATACGATCGTAGCAGACACAGTGGAAAGACCAACAAGGCCGTGCCCACTTCCCACGTCGATGCTGGAATGTCCGGTAAAAACGTCCGTATCAGATTCTTATTGGATTGAGTATTATCACACGACAGTGACTCTAATGTCTCTCCAATAAAGACCAAGTAGGTACTACAAACTCCCATGGAAGCACTCAATGTGAGTACAAAGACGGTTTGTCCCGCTCTCTTGCCCAAGGAAGCTTCTGCCAGTTCCACATAACTACTTGACACACCTTGGCATTGCCACTTGGAGCGTGCCAGACTCGCCATGGTATAGGCCGCCAGGCCACCACATAATGTGAGTGCCAGAGTTCCTCCCAACACGCCTTCTTCCAAAAAGACATGAGGCAGAGCAAAGGATCCAGCTCCACAAATGCACTTGGACAAGTTGATGGTAGCGGATAACTGCGATTGACCTTGCTGCTCAGGGGAGTGACGACTAGTATCATTATTATTGGACCCCGACTCCAAATCCAATTCCGAGGATGGCTCTACGGATAACGGAGAATACTTGGTGCCATTGGTATTATTGCTCATGTTGGGTCGTTGCATCATTCTTCTTCGACGATGGTGCATGTTATTCAGCCCGACAGATCGACGGAGGCATTCACTTTTTGCTGATGATGAGACGATGAGACTGCACTCGTCACTCGGGTAGGGGTCGAACGGGCATTCCAGCGGACGCGTTAAATCCAGTCCGGTACTCAAAGCGAATACGAAAAGGCCTGTTTGCCCTTCGTCGAATCTCAAGATTCTCAAGATCTCATGTCGACGAGGACTTTTGATTGAACCTTTCAGCCTTTCTCCTTTTTAAAAGACGACCCCGAGATGCAGATCAATAAGTCTAGCTACTAGTAGTTACTCAGGCCGATTCCTAACACACTCCGGTACGGAATTTTGTGCTCATTTTTTGGGCTTTTGACGTCACGAGCCCTCCAACCTGAAAAAATTTCTGTAGTGACCGCTACGGTGACTGCGAAAGTCCCAGTGAATTGAAATACCGTACCGGTCACTACAGAAATTTTTTCAAGTTGATGGGCCAATCAAAATGTTTAGCCGGGCGAACTCTTAATTGTGGCCGCCTCCCAATTCGTGTTTCAAACTTCAACTGTGGCAAGTAAGCCGAACGGTACAATCCATACAGATAGGAACCAACACTCTTGAGACTACAATTTGAGTCACTACGTCATTCGAAAAGAAAAAATTTCGCCGAACCGTAGTGTGTTAGGAATCGGCCTCATGCCTAGCTAGCTAGCTGTTGCATTTGGAATTCTCGAGTGGAAGCAGGCAACTTAGAGCATTCAATACCAGGGTACCCCAAAACCCATACATACAGTCTTGTCAAGACTCAATTGAGTGCCACGTGGGACCCACGAGTGCCACGTGGAACCCACATTCTACTCGCTGACATCATTTGGTTTTGGGTTTGGTTTGGGTAAAAAGCAACCAATACCCTAAAACCACGATTGGCCATTTAATATACTAAACTTAACCCTAGACGAACCTATCCTCTTTGGGAAGAAAAGATTGACCATGGGTATCTGCCGCTCCTTGTACTTGATCGGCAGCCGTAACTGAGCCGATTAACAAGGAACTGCCTGGACTATCTTGTAGAGCACCTTTGACTTAATAGGTGACCGTCTTGGTTTGGTCTCTACCGCTTCGACATTCGTTGAGTTAAGTCAATCGGCAGATCGGCAGTCGGCAGATCGGCCGATGGATCCATCGCGATTTTCTTCCATCGCGATTTTCTTCCACCGTGGATTACAATACTGCAACAAATTGAACAGAACAATTCACCACCTAAACTATTAATCAAGCTATGAGTTAATGATGAAAGCATCCAAAAAATGTGCAAGAGTGCGAGATTTCTGTCGTCATTTTCGAGAAGTGAATTGCAGCGTACTACTATCAATTTTGCGTGCTGTGCAATTCTTGCGACAATATCTTCCAAAACCCCAAGATCGCACCTCTTCTCATTGGATTTTCATCGGATCTGTCGGTTTATTTATGGGATTTGCCCTTTGGGTTGGCTTTGGGTCCAGCGCAAATTCACCAGATTTGCGCAGCGTGCAAGCGTTGGGCAAATCACATCTGCAAAAAATGACGTCATTTGCGATGAGATTCATGTTTAGGTCACGGGTACAGTATTGGGTTGTGATTTGCGCAACCCAAAATGCGCGAGTTTTGGGGTACCCCGGTGTTGCATGCTCTTAGCTTGGAGTAGGTCCAGGTGCTGGTAAACAGTGAGCCAGAATTCCTCCTGTGTTCGGCGCGTTCCAGGCAATCCCTTGCTATCTACACATTCCAAAACCTTCACTAACGAAAAAGGCTGATGATGGTGTTGATAAAGAGGTTGCTATAGTGTTGTGTGTTACTACTTGGTTGTTGTGGTTGTGGTTGATTTCTAGTAATCTGGTAACTGGATAGTCATAAATCGCTACCACAGGTCATTTTCGGTCCCCTCAAGCTAGAGGGGGATCTATCTCACGCTAGATTGCACTTGGAATGGGAAAACAGACTTCGGAAGTCTGAAACAGGATGTACCCTTGGGGCAAGCCCCTTGGAGGCTCAGACTTGCCGTTCACCAAACGGCCACCCTATGGTCATGTTGCTTTTTGCAGATTGTTAGTAAGGACTTTCGAAACCAGTCGCTGTCTCACAGGCCCGTTCTGGATCTTCGTCAGACATATCCGCCAAATTGCTCT